ATTCAATTAATATGAATAACAAAGTAACTTAAAAATAAATTTATACATTAAAAAGTTACGTAAAACAAGAGACAATAAGACTTGAAAAAAGGGGACATGATCGCTCCGCAACTAGGCTTCCACAACAGTACCCCGGAGTAGTATATGGAATAATTAATTAATTAATCTATATGAATAAGACAAAAATATGAAATTTATACCTAAAGAAGTCCTACATTTTTTTTGGGGAATTTACTTAAATAGCATTAAAACATAATTACTTTCCCTAAATAACACCACATGTGTTTTTTCCAATGTAGCACTTTCAGTCATTATCCATTAGTTATTATTCAAGTAAATTTTCGCCATCATTAAATTTTCGGGGAATCAAATCTTTATTCTTTTTTAAATTATATTTTTTTCTAATACTTTTCTTATTATTTCTTAACAAATTTGCATCTTGTCAGTTTTCCCCACTCACAAATATTACTTATAAAAATATCATTTTATACTGGGCAATGTGATATATGATTTTTTTTATTTATCGTTAAAAAAAATATTAAACTCATCGCAAAAATATTCTTATTTTTCTTTTCTTTGAAAGAGTGGTTAAGTTAATATTAAACCCACCGGTTAGCTGGTTCACGGTCCGAACAGGCTGGTCCGGTTTGGTTTTTAAAACTATGCGTGAAAGCCAATAACTCTTATATCCAACGATTGCCTTAAAATATGCATTAACCATAGCACGATATTCACTTTTAGCATATGATTCAGAGACAATCTTATATTTCTTCGTCTGCCTAAAAATTGGTGATCCTTCCAATATAAAGAAATATCCACTAACGAAACGTCGTGTAAAGTGGACAACTCATCCAATCTACGTTAGAGTAATTGACAAAAGCAAGATTACTGTAACTGCTTAGAAATTAGATTCATCTTTTTTTACGATGAAAAGAAATCACTTTAAATAGAAGTGAAATATTGAGATAGTATCAAAATAGAAGCTTTATATATTTATCCTAAAATAGGAGTTCACATGGTAGTAATGTTGCACTCTATATGGATATTTCATATTGAGTAATATCTTTTGGTAATGTATATGGTGATGCTGTGAATATAATTTAAATCTTATTTCGAAAATAAAAACATAAAATTCCTATTTTAGTCTTTTTTTCTTCTCCATCTTTGATCTTTCCAATACTAGAACGACGTCGTATAACAGTTGACAGTGAGATAAACCTCCACCTTGCGGCCCAATCCAGTTGCTCTCTCTCTCTCTCTCTCATTTGAGAAGGTAGTGAAATGGCGAAAGGGAAGAAGGAACTTCTAAAGTCGGCGCCGTGGAGGGTGGGATCCGAGGAAGACGAAAAGTTCAAAGATGCGAAGATGAAGGTCACGCGCGAGCCGGGTTCGACTCCAACTATGCACGTCCCTGCGAAGGACTCCGCCGGATCAAACCCCAACGCGCTCCAAGACGACGACGATCCTCTAATCGAAATCGATGCTCAGCTTCGTTATAGCTTCCAGCGGAATTTCAAGGTCTCCTTTACCTCCTTTAGCATCTCTGTGTTTATTTTTTTGAAATGTATTTTGAAACCCTGGGTTTTGTTTTGCCTGGATTTGACACGATTGGTTCTGGCTATGGTGTTTTGCTTCTGTATAGTTTCTAGTTTGGAAATGAAGGGTTTATAATTGAAGATTGTTGTGCGGTTTGTGATGGAATGACTTCAAACTAATGGCACTTTCTGGTTTTATTGGGTTTGAACTATAGTTCTGGCCTTTTGGGGATGGTATGAATTTCGGAATTCGGTTTGATGTTGCATATTCCTCAAAATGCTAGTCTCTAAATGATGTGATTGATTCATGATAGCTGAGATTTCCCTTCATTGAATATTTACAATGTTTTTAAAGACTGAAAATTAAGCCAACCTCAACGCGTAAGAGTTCTCAATGGGTGAGGATGGCGTAGGACATAGGTTACCAGGACCGGACCGGGGAGCAACTCAATATGAGTTGTGAGTGCAAATGGGGTTTGATGGGGTTTAACCATGTTGTGAAGTGGAGCTACTTTATTGTTTCATGACTTCATGTAGTCAGTGTAAGCAATGTTATTGTTGTTGAAATCATAGGGAATGAAAATGAAACACTAAGATCTAACCATGCCGTCAATTTAAAATGTTGCCCTCTCCCGCAATGAAATACTCCTTGTGTACCAAAATACACTTCACATTTTCCTCGTCCGTCCATCTCAAAATAAACTTCATACTCTTCTCGTTTCCTTTTTAAGGAAAGGTGTGTGTGGCTCAAATCATTTCTCTTCTTCTAAACAAAGTATAACCATACATTTCTCACTTTTCAGCACTTCTTAAAATTCCTTAAACCAGATCATAAATTTTACTTTGGGACGAGGGAGTATACACTTTCCTTTTTTGTTTGTCCGAAAATTAAAATGAACAATTTTCTCATTTCCTCTTAGGGAAAAGAATATGTGTGGCTCATAATATTTTCACTCTTCTAAACAAATTCCAACCACACAATTTCTCAGTTTCCATGAAGTTAAAATGCAAACTTCATTGTGGGGGAGTGAGTGTAAAAGAGGTGAAAAGACATCCATTTAGATGTTTCAGTGAAATTTATCTTAAAACAATGTTTTTTCATACTTTCCTTTTGTTTCTTCCACCAATGGAAAAAAAGTTCTTGAAGAATTATACCGGAGTGTCTTTTATCCAGGCATTTTAGGAATTCCTTATTCCTCCATATTGATATTGTGACACAAAGAGCATTTGGTGTAGAATGTTGATACTAATTTTTTATTGAATTTTTAGTGTTAATTTATGAACGAGTAAGTACGTTTGGTTTCTTTGCCCTTCATTTTGGACACATTGTGTTGACTTTTTGTGTGTTCTTTTCTGTGTTGGTTCTATAGACATAAGATTTACTGCATACGCACACTCTCTCCTCCACTTCCCCATTTCTGTGGAATCTTATTGGGTTTGCTTGCTTGCTTGTTGTTGTTGTTGTCATTATTGTTGTCTTGTTTCAAATTTTGTCAAAATTTTGAAACTGGGATAAGCTATTTGCCTAACTGAATTGGTAACATTTCCACTCGTGCAGTTTCTGCAGCATGTTTTCAGTGTTGACACCGTTGTCAAACCTCTCCCTATTTCAATGCAATATAATGTTTCTCGTAACTTGAGCTTCTTCACCCGCATCTTTACGCAGTTCTTTGGTCAGTAAACCTCTGCCCGTTAATCATCATTTATTTGTATGACCATGCATGTCATCATCATCATTCTTGAATTATGAGTTTCCAACCCAAAACCAATTGGCAATGGGAGATGCAAATCGTATTCTTATATATTATTCATTTTCCATGTGGGAATATATCTTCAAGATCCCCTTTAAATGCAACTTTGGGCTTTTTGCCCCAAGTTGTCACATGCTCGAATAGACACGCGCCCCTTGTTTTTGAGCGCCTAAGCCGTAACTAATTCTAATTTTGGTTTTTCACTTGTTCAGATCCTGAAGGAATAGCAGATGCACAGAAATCTTTAGGCTTGGGACACGAAGAAAAAGTGCGTAAAGTTCGCTGAAGAAGTTCATTGGAATCTGTAACTACTGTTTTTTTATGAAATGATATATGTTTGCAATTCTTATTTTGGAATGCCAATCTTGATTGGGATGATAAGTCCATGTCAAACGTTTAAAAGTAGTGCATTTTTAGCTCTTTCTTCGCATGTATTGTTGAAAAAAATAATGGGCTTGAGATATCTTCATTCCTTCAATTATACTCTTTTTGTCCCAGCAAAACCTTCTTGTTTTGACTTTTTAGTCAAACAGTGACATTGTTTGATCATAAATTTTGAAAAAATATATTTAATTATAATGTAATTTTATTATAGTTGGGTTAATCTTAAGATATAGTTTTAATATATCAAATTTTTACAATATATTTATTTATTGAAATTATGTTTAATTTATATTCAAAGAATATCAACATTTGACAAAAAAATCAAATCCGAAAGATTTTTTTTGGGAAGGAGGGAGTTAAGTAATACTCCCTCCGTCCCAAAAAGGTTTACACCTTTCAAAAAAATTGTGTCTCACAGTCTCTTACCCATTTCTATTAAAAAACCACTTTTACTCTTTACTTTTTCAAACTCTACCTATCACATCATACTTTTTTTCTTATAATCTATACATCACAACTTACTTTTACACATCAAATCAAGGTTATTTTTGGAAAGTCAATATAAAATTATCTCTTCCTTAATTTTCACTTTAGTCAAAATGTGTAAAACTTTTTGGGACGGAGGAATATAATGTTAATAAAGGCATGCATATTATGAAATTGACATGTGTACATTAAATAATTGTACAATGCTCATTTTGACAAAATGTATTTTAATTCGTTGCAATAATCCTTCCAATCTGTGAAAGGATAAAAATATAATTACGTAGCACACACTTTGCACATAATACAAATTTTAAAAGTAATGTATGTAATTTAGGATTAATGTAAATTAATGTAAATTTGCTGTATATATCAAGGGCAAATTATTTCTAAATAAGACTATAACATAGAAAAAATATTAAAATAGAACTTCCATATTTTTTATTCTCGAAATAAGAGTTTGCACTGTGATAATGTGGATGTAATGTGGCACTATACACGTACACATTACTATATTTTTTAATAATATACATGATCACATTTGGCAATGTAATTGCATTTTAACTTCTATTTTGAAACTAAAAATATGGAAATCTTATTTTGATATATTTTCAATATTTTCCTCTAGTTTTTTTTTCTTTTAACTTTTGCACATAAAAAGTGTCACAAAACATATCAAATGCTTTGTACATGTTAAAACCAACTAACAAATTTAAAAGAGCCATGCTACTACTATCACAGCCAACCCACACCTCTGTAAATATAAATAAATTTTCTAATATTTTGTGTGTGTGTGTGTGTGTGTATTAGTGAAAAAAGGAGCTTTTAATGTATATATACGCATCATCCAGACCACAAACATTTATTTTTTTTTAACAAAAACAAATCCGAACAATACAACAACACAGATGTCCTGAGATTGAAACCTTTGAACTCCTAATGGAGGCCAAGGCATTGAACACTATATGATGATGAATAAATTTCATAAATAGTCTCTACTTACAAATGATTTTTTATATTTAGTTCTCAATTCTAAGATATTAGATAAATGATCTTCAATTTTTAAAAACCTACTTCATAATCAGTCCTTCAATGACTATATATGGAAAAAATATTTTGTCATATTTGACCTAAAACACTATTTTTTGAATAATTTTCAAAAATTGAAGATCATTTATGGAATATCTTAGAATTGGATACTAAATATGAAAAACCAGCTGTAATTAGGGATCATTTATAGAATTTACTCCTATATGATCATATGATCAAGCAGTGGTTTCAAGAAACGGATAGTCCGTGTACCCGACAACCGGGTCCGAGATATAGAACGTCTCTCGGTTATACTTGTTGAGAGGGGCGTTGATCTCGAACCTCTTGGGCAAATCTGGATTCGCCAAGAACCAGCGACCATAAGCCACAAGATCAGCCCGGTTTTCGGCAATGGCATTGGCCCCATCTTCCCTATCATACCCTCCGGCGACCATGAAAGTCCCATTGAAGGCATCTCTCATTGGCAAAAGACTGTGGGGGCATTCGGGCGACTTCTCCCCCACGGTTTTCATTCTTGGCTCAACCATGTGGCAGTAGAGAACCCCAAACTTGTTCAATGATTCAGCCAAGTAGAGTCCCAAGGCCTTGGGGTTAGAGTCCCCACTCTCCATGTAGTCAGCAAAGGGGGAGAGCCTTATTCCTACCTTGTCAGCTCCGATCTCGTTGCTCACGGCTTCGACTATCTCCAAAGCCAACCTGCACCGGTTCTCCAGAGATCCCCCGTATTGGTCGGTCCGGTCGTTCACTTGGTCTTTCAGGAACTGGTCGATCAGATACCCGTGAGCCCCGTGGATCTCCACTCCATCAAAACCTAAAAAAACGACAACAAATCCAGTAAAAAAACAGATTAAGATCGACGAACGGAATGCAGCCTAGGAAGTAATGAAGTCTAGATATTCTAGAGAATAGAAATACCGGCTTCGATAGCATTTCTTGCAGCAAGCCTGAAATCATTGATGATCTGAGGGATCTCGTCAGTCCTTAAACGGCGTGGAGGTGTAAATGGAGCAACATCAATGCCATTGGATCGTACTTGGGGAGTTAATGCCTTATCTGTGCTGGAGACAGGCTGCTGCCCGTTCGGCTGAAAACCTGCAGGAAATCCAATAAGACGAATGAACTAGAAAAACGATACAGGGCACAAGTGCAAATAATGTCTGAATGATGAAAAGCTAAGGTCAAAAAATAAGCGTCTAACTTATATCCTATCAGATATGCCTTATTAGAAGGAACGCGGGGGAAGTATTTCGTAACATAAATGGTGTGCTAAGCTCATATAACCTTCATCAAGTGCTTAGATTGAAGCCAGAAGATACGATACGATACTAAGAAGCTAAGAAAGCCAAGAATACCTGAATTTGAAACTCTACCACAATGCCAAATCTGGCAGAAGAAGATACCGCCTTTAGCATGCACTGCATCCACAATGGGCTTCCAAGCCTCAACCTGCTCCTTTGTCCATATACCAGGTGTATCCGGATATCTGCCCATCATTGTTCAAATACAGTATTTTTTAAGTAGAAAGTCTTTTTGGAAACAACGTCTCTACTTCATCGAGTAGAGTTTGAAACCTCCGTAAATCTTACCCCCCCAACCCTACAAAAGGGTCATTTAGTGGGTTTTTAGTTGTGTTTTCCTTTTTTTTTTTTGAAGTGAACAAGGCAAGTAGTAGCTCATTTGGCGAGTGCATGAGATATGGGTTTTAATAACTCCGGATATTAATACCCTTTTGTGGTTATATCCTCCCATATCGTAAGTCAAAACCCCCCGAAATGGGGTGATATCTCCTAAATTTGAGAGCTATCGATTTGGGGATTTTGATAGCGTCCTTAGTCCCTTATCACTAACGATCATCATTTCAGATTTCTCCAAACATTCTGATTTCAGATTTTCAGAGCGCAATTCATTTCTTCCAAAATTCATAACGCATATCATTTCAACCCTCCAAAACTCACCAAACAAACCCTAAGTGATCTTATGAAGATTTAAGGAGTACAAAAAAATGTTGTTGAAGTGGAAGAATCACAAAAAAATTACCCTTGGGCGGTGTCGGAAACTCCAGTGGCTTCTGCAATCAGAAGCCCCCCATTTGTGGTTCTCTGAGAGTAATATAAAATGGCGTGCGGCTGAGGAACGTTTCTGTAAGACCTCTGCCTCGTCAGGGGCGCCAGAACAATTCTGTTTCAGACATTTTCATGAACAGATTTGGTCAGATCTATAACAATGTGAAGAACTAAGAAGTACAATGAACTGGTGATTTGTCATAAACATTTCCATGAAGGCCTCTAACAGTGCTAGTTTTACTGATCAATTCATGAAATTGAAGATAAATTGAGGAGAATTGAAGAAGAAAAGGATTGACAGAAAGAGGGTTTTTTTTACCTGTGGGATAATTGAAAATTGCCCATTTTGTAAGGAGTGAGAAGAGGAAGAGTCTCATGCTGCTTCTTCTCTTCGCCGACCTTTTCTGCCATTTCTGAGCTTTTCTTTTTCTTCTTCTTCTGAAAGCTTCTGCAGTTTCCATCCTCGCAATTTATAGGAGATGGTGGCGGCTAGTGGAGGAGTGAAGCTCTGAGACGGCTCTAGTCTTTCTATATTCGAATTTTTATTATTTCAAATACAGATTTTCTTGGAGGAAATTTCAAAGGATTAAGCTATTTGAACCCAAAACTTTTGTATCCTATTTTGTGGGTAAATTTCACAAATGATACCTGAACTTTAGCTAGAATTTCGAAATGGTACCTGAACTTCAAATTCTTTCACAAAAATCCCTGAACATACACAATCCTTTCACTAATGAGCCATTAACCCGTTTCTATGTTAACTTCCGGTCATTAGGGTCAAATTCGAATTTTATATATTTTAAAATTTTAAAATGTCTGACCAAATTCTAAAATTTTAAAATATATAAAATTCGAATTTGGCCCTAATGACCGGAAGTTAACCTAGAAACGGGCTAATGGCTCATTAGTGAAAGGATTGTGTAAGTTTAGAGATTTTTGTGAAAGAATTTGAAGTTCAGGTACCATTTCGAAATTCCAGCTAAAGTTCAGGTACCATTTGTGAAATTTACCCCCTATTTTGTACACTGTAGGTTTGCACCGACATTTTGTGTTGGTATAAAACAAATTTTTGTTAACGCACCAATACTTTGTTTCCTGTAAATTTTTGTTAACGCACCAACACTTGTGTCGGTGTAAACCATTAAAATATTTGTCTATAACTGCAGTGTATAAATGGGATACAATTTTGATTAACTAAATTTTGGAAAAATAAATATTTAATTTTACGTAAATAAATATTCGTTGCAAATGTACGAAAAACGGGTATACATTGCACCTCCACATAAGTCATAACTAGAAGGTGGTGAATAATAAGATGTCAAAGTAGTTAGTTGGGCAATCAACAATAGTGAGAGGTAGGGTTGTAAATGAATCGAATATTTTTTGTTTGATTCGTGAATCGTACTCGTTTAAGATGATTCGTATTCGATTTTTTCAAATCTGAATACGAATCTGAATCAAGGGTATTCAATTCGTGAGTTTGACAAATATATTCGTAATATAAATCCAGTTATACAAATTATATATATATATATATATATATATATATATATATATATATATATATCAAGTGGTTATAAGATATTTTAAAATCTAAATTAATTGAATATTTTTAAACGAACCGAATACGAATCTTTAAAAATATTCGAGCCGAATTCGAATTCGAATATCACTCCATCTTAACGAATATGAATATTTTTCATGAATATTCGATTCGATTCAGTTCGTTTACAACCCTAGTCAGAGGATGATGGAGATAAACCTACATGATGTATCTTCTCCCATACCGTACCCCCTATCTACTTCATGTATCTTCTCCCATAAACCTACTTAATATTCAATTTTACATAAATATTGGGTATATATTGCACCTACACATAAGTCATAAATTAAAAAGTGGTGAATAATCTTCTAATATACAAAGGCAAAGGGAAGAAATGAACAGTTCAATTTCTCGTCTAAACTTTTCAGGTACGGGCTGAATATTCGATTCGGGTATCGGGTTGGACAAAGGGGAATCCTGATCCGATTGGGCTAATGGGTCTTGAATGGTTGAATTAGATTGGTTATTTTTTGGTTCCCGTGAAGACATTAATAATGGATTTTGGGATATGCATTTTAACAGCTTCCCTTTCACTTTAATCAAGACTCTTTATTGCCTATTTCCTAATATACCCCGATGTGAAATTATCATTACTTTCTCCTAGGGAAGTTATTCAAATTTTAAGTTTATAAAGTATAAACAACTATTGGCCAATACCAATTCATTTCCTCATCGTTAAAGCTTTGGAAAATTTCATCTTGCTTAATATGGATCTGAAACGTGTTATCCTAGTTCTGTTTACGAACCTTAGTGAGCTCGAAAAGGACCAAAACAACATTGTTATCCATGTACGAGTTGTTTGTGTCTACCATGTGCTGCCTTTTGGAAGAAACATTGAATCTTTTTTATGACGATGAGGTGTGTGTTCTGTATCTAAATCCTGATCATTCAAGTTATTTATTTTTAGATCATTCAAATTCCAGTTATGCATTCATGCATCTACAGTAAAAAAAACTGTGAACAAAGTAAAAAATAAAATGTTCTATCAGGGCACTCAAACAAAATGTTTTTTTGAATTTTCTTCCATAAACTACATTCAAACAAATTACATGCCTTTTTAAATTATCACACTAACATAAAATATCGATACATGCCTTTGGAGTACATAATAGGGTACAAATTTTGGTGTACAAATAGCCTAATTCTAAATATATTTATTTAAAAAATTCTTGAACTCCTAAATATATTTTTTAAAAACTTGTTTGAACCGATAAATATTTTTAAAAAAACCTTGCTGAAGATCTAAATATATTTTTTCGAGATCTGACCATATAAAACCCTTCGAAGGAATAAAATGTGTTTAGTAGCAACATTGAACCGTGAAACATTAAATGACATAACTTCAAAGGAAGAAAATTTCACTCATTACTTGAAATATTTTCTTGGACAATAATACATACTTCCTCCGTCTACAAATAAACTTTCTATTGTTCGTTACGATGTTTGACTGAAGTTATTTTTAAATAATTCTATATGAAAAAGGGTGTAAAATCTAAAAATAAAAATTACATACTAAAAAAACAATATCAAAAGATCTACAAAACTAGAGTTGACGTGACTATATTATTTTATCAAATGGGTGACGAAAATAAGCCAATAAAATGAATAAAATTTAACCCTGTAAACAGTGAACATGAAATTTATTTGTGAAGGAAGGGAATATTAAATATTCTAGAAGATCACTAATATGTCAACGAGTTAGGTGGGGGCAATTAACAATAGTGAGGGGGGTAGGATGGTGGAGATAAACGTAGTTCATGTATCTTCTCCCATATCCCGTCCATGTGCGAAATTCGGGGTGGCTTCTTTGTGTTGGTTGCATAAAAAAATTATTCCCACCTCGGTTGATGTGTCTCTGGTGAGGTTCGAACTCACGACTATTCGCTTAAAAGGCGATTACACTACCGCTGTGTTACAGAGACAAACTTGGTTTATTGATCCTCAACTCACGTTATATTGTATCTGCCGAGGAGTACGTGCTGTCACCGGATTAAACTAGAATTAATATTTCACATTTGTCTTTTTTAGTTGTGCAAAATACGAAATTATATGTTCATGAAATGCTTTAATTTTCTAATAAATCACAATATGAGAGTCATAATTAGCTCTTCTCCTTTTTTAAAAAAAAGGTACGGAGTAATTTTTAACCAATTATTTTTAATTTCATCACTTTGTTGTGTGACAATTAGGGGTGAGCAAATTAACCGGACCGTTCGCGAAACCGAAAACCGAAATAACCGGAAGTTCGGTTTCGGTTTCGGTTTTCATGTAAAAATTATTTTTTGTTTTTTCGGTTTTTCGGTCGATTTTTGGTTTTTTTGTAAGAAAAACCGAACCGACCGAATAACCGATGATTTTATTTTAATTTATTTTTAATTTTTTAAAATAAGAAAATATTTAATTAACACACATGCTTTCTTTTTACTCTTTCATGGAAAACTATAATGTTTCACTTTTAAAAAATTTATTTGTTAATGTTTTGAACATATTAATAAGAAAAGTGCAATTTTTATATGAAATGGATAGTGTATATTCAAATAAAAATTAATCTACCTTACTAAATCAATGACAATAGAAAAGTCTTAATCTAAACTAATTTAATACATATCAATCTACCTTACCGAATTAGTTTCTTGAATTTATATTAAAAAATCAAAATAAAAGTCGGAGTAGTTAGAATTCGGTTTTTCGGTCGGTTTTTTTGATGTATGGGCGGTTTTTCGGTTTCGGTTCGGTCGGTTTTAATTTATGGTCGGTTCGGTTCGGTCGGTTTTCAACCATGTTAAAAAAAGTCGGTTTTTTCGGTTTCAAACCGAAACTGACCGAAACCGACCGTTGCTCGGCCCTAGTGACAATGAAATATTGTGACATTTCCTTTTTGGCTGTTTGTTCAAATTGATTACGAAGTATATTTTTACATAGCAAATTCAGTGAATCTAGCGTTTCAAATCAAAAATAAAGAGAAAAAGACTAAAAGAGTAATAAAACATTGAAAAATATACCAAAATATTACTCATGTTTTTATTCTCGAAATAGGAGTTAAAATGCATTTACATTATCAAAAATGATCATGTACATTACCAAAAAGTACAGTAATGTGCACGTGTATGGTGCTACATTATCTCCACATTACCACATTGCGAATTCCTATTTTGAAAATAAAAACATAAAAATTTTATTTTGGTACTTTTTTATGTTTTAGTTTTATTTAGGGTGATTTCTACAAATCAAAACATGAAAGTCTTTTTTACTGAACTCTTTTTTTTGTGTGATAAAATCTCTTCATCTTATCTCTCCTCTTTTGCTAAGACCAAGTTTTTTTATCCTTTCTTCTTTTTGTTTCTGAATACATGAAATATGTTTCTTAAGGCCACTGGTAATACTAGTAACGCCACCCGGCGTTATGATGCTTTTGAAGCCCAGGGGGCGTTAAACACCGCCCCCCTGGGGCTTCATTGTGGCGTGATCGTTCCAGAGTCATTCCTTTAACGCAACTTCTTCCCCTTATAACGGTAAATTTAGCCGTTTTAAGCACACAAAAAAAATTAAATAATTTTTTTTATAAATTTCAAACTCCATCTCTCTCCCATTTTATAATTAAATTTTTTAATTTAATGAATGCAATTTTTTAAAATTATTATCGCTTCAATTTCTTTTAATTTAATGAATCTAATTTTTTAATTACTCTTGTTCCAATATAATTAAATAATAAAATAATTTAATTTTAAAAGATGTATATTTAAAAATGTAAAAAATGAAGGTTTGAAGCCCATGTTTGAAGCCCCGGGGCTTCAAACCCATTTCCACTGAATCTGTGAGGTAAGTTAAAGCTGACGTGGCAGAGAGAGAAATTTTGAAGCCCCGGGGCTTCACAGATATTTCCAGTGCTCTAATACATGAAATTTAACTCAATTTCTACGTCAAATAGGTTTGTGTATTTATTAGAAAACATCCCACATTAAAAGAGTGAGAAAAATATAATTGATACTCTTCAGTTGTACTAAGTATTGGCGTGTGACAAATCCAAAAAAGAAAAGGAGAACTTTTATTGGCTTTCCTTATTTAATGCAATTCATATTGTGGTACCAATTCATTCAGCACAATTCTTACCTTCTTATCTCTATATCTGCATAAGAAAAATCTTGTGCCAAAGTTGATTTAAAACAATAATCTGCAATAAATATCTACAAAGGATAGCTGAGATGCCATTGGCCCTTTTTGGAGAATATGAGTAGCAAAGTGAAATATATTAGCTCTTAGATTATCCCTAATGCCCGCATAGGTAGCTCAACTGGTCCAAAGAGAGGATGTGAAGCTCGTTAGTTCTAGGGTCGAATTCCGACAACGGCAGTATGAGAGTTCTATTATTTGTAATACTAGCTTCTTGTGCGCACCGGGCACGGGACAACCTCTCTAAACACCATATTGAGATTATACCATGATGTCTCCTTCTCATAATCTTGTCGGGTCGGGGTGGGAAGCGCCCGGGGCGAGTGTTCCACCTTTTAGAGTATCCGTAATAAATAACAACAAACTCTAACCTAAAAGCTAAAGTACAGTGCAAACTAAAAAAATGAAGTAGTAATTCATCTCATTATGTTTCAAATTACAATGTATTTCTGTTTTCATTACTTCTTTTTATATTTTAAAAATTAAAAAATACATTGAGCTTTTAAAAAAGATATACACTGAGTAATGAACAAAAAAGTTTTGCATTTCCAAAAAGAAAAGAATTGCAGTATTGGTAGAAAGTGAGGATAGAGAATGTAAAAACTAAATTGGGTTTGTGAATTTAGTACCATTTGAAGATGGTGGGCACCAAATATTGATATTAAAAAAAGAGGATATGATTGAAGATGCTTTTATCGTACTATTGTTTTTTTATTTCGCTCATTTTTCGAAAAACACACATTTTTGTTGTGGTAGATTTTTGTTACCATTATAAATGTTCATTTTTAATTGTTAAAGATGAATGTACTAAAAGCATGCATCTCCATTTACATTATACTCACTCTTCCATAGTACTCATTTTAAATTAGATTTATTTTTTCAAGTTAAACTAGACAAATTTTCATCAAGAACTAAATAAAAACTACTCCATTATGCATATATTTTATATTTGTACAAAATAACTTCTTTATATTTATCTCATAAAAAACTTTCTAAAATTTATTTTAATACATTAATGCGGAGTATAATTAATGATTAATTAAATTTTATCCATTTTAATCAACAAAATAAAACTAGCCAATCTTTATCAAACTGAAAAAACATATATTTTATGCTAGTAACTCTTTTACAACACGATGACTCTTATGACACTAAAATTTTTAACTTCAAAATGATATGGGGCACAAACTTATCTTGTTTTCTGGGATATAACAATGACATTACTTGTACACACCATAGAATAAATCTACATTCAACAAAAGTCCGTTCTCACAAAGATTTGTGACAAGCACTTCACATAGTCACATTGTCAACCTTAATTTATTTTGTTTTATTATATGTACTAAATATATCATAAAATAATAATCTTATTACCTCTTTTTTATAAAACATTTCAAATTTTATTTTTTAATCCTTACTAGTTTTTAAATAAATTAAATTAAAAATAACTTCTATCAAATACAACCAAATAGTTTTAATTAAAAATAAAAATGATCAAACCTCATAAAACATAATGTAAAAAATCTATGAAAGACAACTGAGTATCGCCTTTTAAACTGTTTTGCCAAACATGGCCTTAAACTGTTTTAATTTCAGTCATCAATCCAGACTACCCAGAACCAGACCATGTACCCATAAGTTTAACACCAACAATATAACCAAAAGGATTTGCCAATTGCCATAACCCGAAAACAAACATCCATAACTGAACCCGACAGACCGTGTTGTAGACAGTAATCCAAACATCAGAATGTCCCAACAAAGGAACACCAACAATAATCACATGAAATTCAACTTCTTAAGTTCAAACACGCCATATCGCACTGCACGAGGGCAAACTCAAAGTAGTTTTTTTTTTAAAAAAACATTGTTCAAAAAGAGGGGAAATTCAAAAATTCGTACGAGAGTATATAGGCTACGGAAGTGACTGAAAAAAGGATAGTTTACTTGAAGCATTTGGCATCCAGGAGAGCCTCACCTTCAAAAGGCTCTTGATCCTCAATCATCTGGTTCACACGCTCCTTCTGAGCTTCATCGTTAATGTCAACCTCCTTCCAGTCATACAGTTCCATGTCATACACTTCGTCCATGATAAACTTGGGGATTTCTTTCCCGCGGAAAAGCCATAGACCCTTCACCTTGAAGGGGGCTTCTGATCCAACCACCAACATCTTGCCAAAGGCGTACTTGCGTGCCAGATCCATTCTCTGCAAGAACCCACCCACCTTGTTCAAGGTCACAAAGGAAACACTGTTCTCCTCGTTGTACTTGTAGTCGCAGAACCACAGAGAGTATCCCTCCGGATCATACATCTCCCAGAAACCTGGAACACAAAGATGAGCTTCAGCCTACAAACCAAGAAACCGAGTACAACATTCCAATTCAGTTCTCTTAAGCCATGTTTGGGAAAAACTTTTCCAGTTAGCGGTTAGGATTATTTCTTAACAATGCAAATTAACATTGGTAGGACAAACGCTAAACACTGCCCTTAGATAGTCTTTTTCAAAAGGATGAATCTGTTGCCAAGCAGGTGCTTAGAAATTAAGTAGATAAAATTTATAATTGGAGAAAAACTGTACAATATTAACAAACCACCATTTGATAGCATGTGTGGGATTGTTTTTTGGAAAATACTTCAACAAGAAAAACAACAGATTAGAGTTTTTTAAAGAAACGTACTTGTTTGAAGAAGTATTATAAGCCATCATCCCACAAAGGAACTTAATCATTAAAGATTCACTTTGCAAGGGTGTTACCAAAAAATATGAAGAAAACAGTATTTTGGTTAAGATTTACTCCCTATAAACAGCTACTGTATATACTGAGAAACAGTTTTTTCATTTAAAAAACAGCACTTACTATGAACCTGGGAGTACAACATATGATAACAGATACAGAAGAATATACCTTTGATGGCAACTTCACGGAAGTTGGTCTTAGTGTTAGAGTACAACCTCTTCCACTCATCAAGAACCATCTTGCTAGGTGGCAAGAGATCGAGGGGATTTTTTGGTTTTGGCTTGGGTGCTTCTTCTTCCTCAGCCTCTTCCTTAGGCTTAGGCTCTTCCTTCTTAGCCTCTTTCTTAGGCTCCTCCTTTTTTGGTTTTGCAGGTTCCTTTGGCTGTGCAGGTTTCTTGGATGGTACAGCAGGAATGGTTGCTGCTTGCTCAATCTCACCCAATATCTTGGCAAAATTTGGCTGATTAACCATTGTCCAGAAATATCTCTCCACATGTGGGAAGTCCTTGGTAAAGCTCTTTGTCAGGATAAACCTATATCCAACGCTAAGGTTACAGGTCATAACAATGTCAGCAAGTGTCACCGAATGCCCAACAAGGTATGTGTTAGAGGCAAGATGAGTGTTCAAAGCATCAAGTGCCCTCTTCAGCGCAGAGATCGCAATTTCTTCACTCTAAATTGACAATGAATAAAACAATTTATTAACACAAAGTTGATTTTTTTATTAAACTACAAGTCTAGGTAAGCAACGAGGTGCATAGAGAGTGAATAGACAATTTCATATACCGGTTGCAAATATGGATAAAATCCAAGTCGTGGGTACAACCACCTTGCAAGATTAGCATCAATTTCCGTAGCAGAAAAGTCCATCCATTGCTCAATACGGGCCTATACAAATGAATAAAACAAAGTGAATATAAAATCAACAAAAAGGAAATTAGTACGGCTAGGTTTAAATAACGGGTCTTACATATTCAATCAGTGAAGAACCAAAAAGTGGATTGTCATTCTTCAGCTTGGCAACTACATTTCAAAAATCAAAGATTAGGTAGGAACAGAGTTGTTATTCCAACAAAATAAACAAATAGATAGAGCAAAAATCTCACCATAACGAGCAATAGCATTACTCTCAAATACAGCTCCATCAGGAGTTTCAAGCACAGGAACCTACACCAACAGAAAACATTAGCAGACATTAGAAAAAAATGGGGAAGATATGAAATAAAATATATAGAACTTAGTGGATATACAGTACCTTTCCAAGGGGGTTCATCTTAAGAAACTCAGGGGTCTTGTTTGTCACACCCATAACAAAATCATTTGTCAGTTCCAGTTTTACACCACTATACTCAGCAGCAATACGTGCCTTGAATGCATTTTTGTTGTCAGGGAAAGAGTGCAGAACCTACAATGAAAGATCACAAGCAGTTGTTCTTATGTTAAATACCTTTGAAACCATACCTTAGTGATGCATGAGGTTTATTATAAAGCTATGGTAAACAGAGCAGCATGTGGCAGATCATACTATCATAGTGGCATGTTCACAGTCTCATTACCCTTTCTATATATAAAATTGAAGGATGGGTCTAGTTTATCATCATTCTGTAATATTTAGAATTCAGAAAAATCTAAATTTTGTAAAACAGGCAAGAACCATTGACATTCATCAGGGTTCAAACACAGCCTTGAATGAAAACATTCATCACATTGGATGAGCTTCACATGATAATTTCAATTAGATACGTTTCACTTAACAAAATACAGCATGTGCCCTCAAGTTATGTTATGTATTTGATATAATTGAGCGTATCAAGTACAAAATTAACAAAGGACCACATCAGAGAAAAAATACAATAGAATAAAGCCCAAAAATACATAGATCAAGAAAAGTGGCCAATAAAAAACAGAAAGGGGAGCCTTTTTCCACACAAAAACACAAATCCGCGACAAAATGATACGGTAGGGAAGAACCACACAAAATACATTTAGAAAAAGATGCAGACTCGGACAATAGAATCTGAAAAGGTGTGATTTACGAGCGATCAAATTGAACAAATATGCAAACTGGCGGATAACAAACAGGTCACGACCAGATCTGTAGCTCAAAGTTAAGCATTCAAACATGAAGACGACGCGAAGAAGCTCACCAGAGCCATTTCTTTCAGAGTAGAAACTTCAATTCGATTCTATCACCTCAGATATCTGAAAATCGAGACAAGAATCAAACAAAATCACCTCAATAACACATCCATGCATGAATTATAAAAATGGAAGAATCAGATCGGAATAAATTTAGATAGAAAAGACGGCTCACACTGCTGCTTGGCTGAGGAGAAACTGGGCGATGATGACACTTCAGTTGAAGGTGTGGAGGTTTAGGGTTTCGTAGGAGATGTGAAAATAGAAACGGATGCTATAAATTTATACGAAAAAATAATGAAGGTGGATTGTCCCCTTCAATGAGGGATAGTTCCGGAATTATGCAATATAGACATTTGAAATGGACAAATTTTCTCCCTTTCTTAAAACAAAGTTCCACCTTTCACCTTAAATAATTTAAGGAAAGTTTGAAAATGAGTGGCTGAAATTTAAATACATTGAAAGAAAAAATTAGGTTTTACATATTTCATTTTTTAATATTTTTTTGAAAGAATTAACATGTGATTTTCATATTTAATCCTTTATATCAAATATTGCATCTGTAATCTTTATTTTTTCAGTACCTTTCCAAAAATGGGTTTTTTTATCTTTTATCATACTGGCGTTGATTTGAAGACAAAAGAATATAATTTGACATCAATCTGATATCGGTTAGACAAACAACATAACAATAATGAATATTGTTGTAGACTAGGATGTCGATAAAAGACCACATCTGTATACAATGGTTGTAGTAAACATCAATTACGATTTACAAACGTCGCATCACGAGCGACCTTTAGAATTGTGTATGATAACAAAAACATTTGATCATTGTCAAATTACACTTTTAACTTTCTAATTAATATCAACATGACAAAAAATAAAAAAGTCTATTTGTTAAAATATATATACATAAAAGAAGGACCACGGGCGTAATATTTGATAATCGAGGACTAAATATGAAAAAATTTCATGTTATATAATGACCAATTAAGGAATTATTCTATATTCTTTATCATAAAAAGATTATCACAATTTGATTTTTTGTCAAATTGTGTTACACTTTTGACCATAAATTTGACAAAAAAAAGTGATACAATCAAAATGTAAATTTAGAAAGTTTGAGTTCATTTTAAAATATAGTTTTGATATATCAACTTTTGTCAAATTTAATTGATGGAAATCATTTTTTTGGGGCGACGGTCCGACGAATTCGGTATTGGGTCAACGAAACAACGAACAACGAAATCCTCAAAATAAATTAATAAATCGAAAAGAAAGTTTTTATACGTGGAAACCAAAATAATGAGAAAATCACAGACTTTTTTAGACGGTACCATACCAAAGGGATAAACTTTTATTAATCTCGAGAAATACATATATATTACTGTAAAAATTAAGAGCTATAAATGAAGTTCTTGAACTCAAAGGGAATAAGGAAGATGAATAATAGTAGCAGAAGCTTCTCCTCCCTTTCTTTTTTTATCTTCCCCTTACTTGATATCTTCGTAGTTTTCTTTTAAAGGAGAAATGGTGGAGACATTGATAGAGACAAAGGGGGCCTCTTTCATGTAAGAATGTTCCATGGTGAGAATGTTCTACGGGCCCCTGCTGGATATCTTTTACATCACATCAAATATATTTTTCTGTCCATATATCTCTGGCTCCATCTTGAATACTTTAACTGATTTGTATCGTGGGCTAGACTCAATTGGATTTACTTGTATTGTTCAAATAATATTGAACTAGGTAAAATCTCTAATCCATCACTTGCCTCTATAATTTTGACTCTGTCTTGAGGAACGAGATAGATCTAAAAACTATATGACTCGTGAGTTGCCTCATGGAATATAGTTTTTCTCAACACCTCGGGAAGATGACATTCTTTTTTGGAGGGTCTTGTTACCTCGTGGGTGAGGATTTAACTTGATGCCTCTTGAAAGAGGACTTGGTGCCTCGTGGAAGAGGATTTTTATCAGAGTTTGGTGCCTCTTGGAAGAAGACTTGGTGCCTCGTGGAAGAGGGCTTTTTTCGGAGCTCAGCGTCTAGAACTTTTCTCGAGACTCAGTGCCTCTGGGAAGAAGGCTTTACTTTCATTTACTTTTCTTTAGTGTCTCGACAAGATGATTTGGTTCCTCTTGGAAAAGGGCTTTCTCGGAGCTCAGTGCCTTTTGGAAGAGGACTTTTCTCGGGACTCAATGCCTCTTGGAAGAGGACTTTACTTTCCTTTACTTTTCTTTAGTGCCGCATGAAGAGATTCGGTGCCTCTTAAAAGAGGACTTTTTCGGAGCTCGATGCATCTTGGAAGAGGACTTAATCCTCGTGGAAAAAGACTTTTGTTTTGTTTACTTTTATTTAGTACCTCTAGAAGAAGACTTTTCTCAGGGCTTGGTACATCTTGAAAGAGGACTTGGTGTCTCGTAGAATAAAACTTTTCTTTTTTTACTTTTCTCTAATGCCTCGGGAAGAGAACTTTTCTTGGTGTTTGGTGCCTCTTGGAAGAAGACTTTTTTGGGAATTCGTGCCTCTTGAAATAGACTTTTTTCTGGGATTTGTGCCTCCTAGAAGAGAACATTTCTCGGGGGATTTGTTGCCTCTTGGAAGAGGATATTCCTCAGGACTTGGTGCCTCTCGAAAGATAATTTTTCTCAGGGACTGGTGCCTCATGAAAAAAAACTTTTCTCGCGGATTTGTGCCTCTTGAAAGAAAGTTTTTTTCTAGGATTTGTTGCCTCTTGGAACATGACTTGTTTTTCAATATTCTTTATGAGCCTCTAAATCACAAAACCAACTTGATATCTGCCTTATGATAGTTGGGCGCTCTATTCTTATTGGAGGATAGGGGTGTGCATCAGTCTAAACCCAGAGCAAGACCAAATAAGGTACTTGTCTTGGACCGGGGACCAATCCAAATAAGATAAGGACCGGCCTAGGACCGGACCGGTAAAAGCTGGACCAGCCTGAGATTGGACCGAATTAGGCTTTTTTATTTTTAATATTTTAAAAATTAATTTTATATAATTAATCTAAAATATCCACTTGTAAAAAAATATTAATATTACGAATTTGTAATGTGTAACACATACTAAACATTATCAATCAACATTATTTAAAAATTAAATTTTTTTAACATAGTATCAACACTATAATTAAATCATGCATATCATTTAAAATATAAATTTAAAAGTCAACAATAATATTACTAGAGTTCTCTATACAACACTCGATGAGAACAAAGATGTTTCAGCACAACTTGACATTAAAATCTTACATATATCTTTTTTTTAGTAAAAAGAGTAAAAGACAGTGCTTTAAAAGGATGTAAAAAATTGTTTAAAAATTATTTTATTCTTCTCATAATTTTTTTTGTGATATAATACAAAAATGTAACATTCAATTAGTCATAAAAATATAGTAACATAATTTGCAAGAAAAAACATTAATAGGGAATGTGAAATTTGCACTGAATAGGACTAAAACATAAGTCATTTCCCAACGTAGGACTTAAACTTTTTTATTCCCTAAATAGGACTTAATAATGACCAGTGAGAAAAATAATGTCTAAGTGATACTGGACATTTAGTTGAATAATGACTAATAGATAATAACCAATTGTCCTACATTGGGAAATAAAAACATATGGTCCTAAATTGAGAAAGTCATTATGTTTTAGTCATATTTAGGTAAATTACCCGAATGTGAAATTTGCACTGAATAGGACTAATAGAATTGGTATTTTATTTAAATTGACTATTTAAAAAAAGTTGTGATAAAAAAATACGAGATGCATTGAATTAGTCTTAATTTTATTGCAACATGAGTGAAATATAAGTAAAAACTTCATTAGTTATATTATATTATTATACATAAAAAATTAAAAAAAATAAAATTTTGACCGGTCCAGACCGAAACCCGGTGGACTGGACCAGACCAGAATCCAAATAAATTATTTTAAAGAACCAGAATCGGACAAGAAAAGGTCAGGTCCGGACCGATCTGGCCCGGTTTGACTGGGTTTTGGGTCGGTCCAGGTCCAGACCGAATAATGCACACCCCTGTTGAAGATAGACATTCCTCGCCAACCTCTATCTCTCCATCTCTCTTTTCTATCTCAGTACGGGAGTCTGTGGTTACCTCAAGTAATCTGATCACTTATCCCAACTCTGATCAGAGGACTGTAACACCCCGGTCCCCACCCTGGCCGTAAGCGTTTGCTCATGGGATTGTAGACTGGCCCCACAAACCAACACAAGCCTTTCCCGCGCACTTTGTCCTCACTCATGCGCGCCCAAGGAATTTTCCAGGGGGTCACCCATCCTAAAATTGCTTCAGATCAAGCACGCTTAACTTTGGAGTTTCTAGGTGATGAGCTATCGAAAAGAAGATGCACCTTGTTGATATGAGGAGTACTATCAATCCTTTTTGAACTCTTCCCATTCCCACCTTAATACAGGGTATTACATTCACCCCCACTTAAGAATGCAATGTCCTCGTTGCATCCTTTCTTTTTTTTCAAACCCTTAGATCTTCCCCGTTAGGTGAACTAAGCTCTTTTGGCCCGTCACGGTCGCATGGTTGCTCTGATACCATTTGTAACACCCCGGCCCCCACCCTGGCCGTAAGCGTTCGCTCATAAAATTGTAGACTAGCCCCACAAACCAACACAAGTCTTTCTCGCACACTTTGTCCTCATTCGTGCGCGCCCAAGGCAACTTCCCAGGGGGTCATCCATCATAGAGTTGCTCCAGGTCAAGCACGCTTAGCTTTGGAGTTTCTAGGTGATTAGATCTCGAAAAGAAGATGCACATTGTTGGTATGAGTAGTACCATCAATCCTTTTTGTTCTTCCCATTCTTACCTTAATACGGGGTATTACAAGGACGGAGGGTCTCTGGTCACTAGACGCTGGAGGCTTGCTAGACTCATTTGTCCACTTGAGGACAGACAGTTTGTGTTGCTCACTGAAGACCGGCGCGGTCCCTTGGAGGGATCCTTAGAAGCTGGAACGGACCACTGTAGACTAGTGTGGATCCTTAGAAGCTGAAACGGACCACTTGAGGCCGGTGCGGTCCCTAAAAGGGGCCGTTTGAAGATGGAATTGACCTATTGAGGTCGGCACGGTCCTTTAGAGGGATCCTTGGAAACTGGAACGGACCTCTTGAGGCTAGCGTGGTCTTTTGGAGGGACCCTTGGAAGCTGGAGCAAACATATCGACGCTGGCGGGGACCATTGGAAGCTTGAACGGACCTCTTGA